ACGTGTAATACACTCGACATCAAATAAATCGCACCGACAAGCATTTTCAAACGTATGCATCCCCACTTCCCACCAATATTGGCACCATTTAAAAGCCTAGTTCTTCTAACCTTCATTTCATTAAAGGAAAGGTTTTTAACCCAAAAATGTGTCTTTAGAAGGATCCAGAGTCACTTTTTCAAAAAATAGGTAGTTACGCTAGAGCCAACTTTTATGGCTATAAAACTGTTGGGATTAATCGCTATCCATCTGTTAAAGAGGACACGTGAGATCATTATTTGGTTTTATAACCATAAAAATTGGTCTAATTGATCCCATAGGTGGGCCCAAAGTGAGATATTTTTTCAAGTCACATTTATGGTATATGTTAATCATTTATTAAGAAATTAAATGTGTTTTTCTTTAAGGATATTTATTGGGCTTTCAAATAACACCAATATTGTTGGTGCACCATGATTGTGTCAGAAGAAAAACGTTAAAGTTCGCGTCGCAGAAGGTGCGGTTTATTTGATGTTGAGTGTAGTTCTACAAACTAGACACTTGCACACACTATAGGCTTAGTGCTTAACTCAGTCAGTGCCTGAGGAATGGGAGCGTTTTTGAGTCGTCAAACGTCACGGGAACATCCCCACCTGTCGTTCCCACCGCTGCAACTCCTGTGTAGCCAGGATCTACAGCTTGACTGCCATAAAAACCCGACCAATGAAGGTCAAGTTTGTCCCGGGGGAAAGTTAAACTGTAATTGGACCCGCATCGAAATTAATCAGAAGAACATCATCATCATCATCATCATTTCAGCCATAGGACGTCCACTGCTGAACATAGGCCTCCCCCAATGACTTCCACATCGCACGGTTGGTAGCGGCCTGCATCCAGCGCCTTCCTGCTACCTTTATTAGGTCCCACGCTGCGTTTTCCGGTACGTGGCCTACACTCCAAAACCTGTTGCTGCATCGGCTGTCAGTTCTGCGCACTATGTGCCCTGCTCATCGCCACTTCAGCTTGCTAATCCGTCGGGCTATGTCAGTGACTTTAGTTCGTTTATGGATCTCCTCATTTCTAATTTGATCTCGCAAAGAAACACCAAACATTGCCCTTTCCATAGCACGCTGTTCAACTTTGAGCTTCTTTATGAGGCCTATGGTGAGAGGCCACGTTTCGGAGCCGTATGTCTTCACTAACACACACAAGAGAACATACGAGTTCGAAATTAAGGTTCGACTTCCCTCCATTGCAAACGTCAGTGAGACTTCAGATTATGCTTCAGGTCAGGTCAGGTCAGGTCCCGTGTCGCTCCCATACCTCGAGCACAGACTGATTTAAACGCTAGAACTATAGTTGTGTAAAGCCTATTATAGTCTTGCATTGACTATCGTGATTCTTGTCTTTGGAACTTTATCAATGTGTCTGTTTTTAATCAAGACTCATAGATATTCGATAGGATTTCGTTGTGACATTATTATATCACGATTGTCTTTGGAACTTTTTTCAACACTCATTAGTTAGTTTATCGAATTCGTGTATCAGGACTTATTTTCTCTTTCTATCGAAGGCGAAACGTTCTCAAAAATTAACTCAGGCTGAGTTGTACCAACTTACTTTGACCGTAACTTTAACAATAACCGGTGTTTTTTGGATGGTGCAACTGAGCCTAAGTATGAAAAATGTAACGTTGAAAATAAGAAATAGAAACCTAAGTAGGAACCCACTATTTAAACACTTGGAAAAAATTGATAAGCACTTAAAAAAGCAAACGCACACTAATATTATTGTTTGTCATGTCTTCCAATTCAATAGAAAACATGGATAATTTCTTCCTATCTTTTTTATCTTTAGTAAAGTAGGTATATTTGTCCATATGTAATGAGAAATAACAAATAGCTTTAGCCAAAGGTTCTATTTCCAACTAGGACAACTCATTTGCGTCTCTACAATCACATTAAAAGGCGCAGACCTCACAACATGTTTTAGACTAGGCTATCAGATGGGTCCTCACAATGCCTTACAGGTGATGGCTGACCAGCTATCTTGATGCTTGACTGATCGACAAGTCAATGTATGGACTGACTATTGTAGGGTTCTATTGGGTATTGTAGGGGAAAGATGCTGAGATAAGCGTGTGAAGGTATGAACTAAAATCGGGGAGGAGTTACCGATTTTATTTTAAGCTGATAGTTAATAAAATTTTGAGCTTTCATTTCGACTACTATAAATAATGTAATTTACACTACAGTTCCAAGAAAAATCTCAAGATGTTCGAGACTTGAGTCAATAATAGGTATCTACTGAGATAGCTCCCTCTAACATAGATTACATCTGCAACCTATTTAAGAAACCTGAATTCAGGATATTTTTTTTCAAATAATTTTTCAGGCCCAGTTGATTAGTATGTTGTTCCAAAGTGGTGGCTCTATTTGCATATTGGTGTGTGCAAGTGTCCTGAAAAATATAAATTAATTGGAATTTTCAATGTAAGCTTTTCTCCATGTGTAACGAAGTGGCAAAAAAGTTACATTTGATTAAATTATGCATGACTTATGACCTAACGTCGATACAATGGCAAACACAAATCGCATTCTAATCATTCAGCTGTCATATTCATAGTTCAGGCAATGAAGTGTGGGCGATGGCATGTTGCAACTGCATTATACGATGTTCTCACGGATCTTGGAGGCATTCGTAATCTATTGTAACACCCGTAACAGGGTGTCATACTTGCTATCGAACGTCGAAGTATCTATTGTCTAGATATTGACAACTATGCATCAACGGGTCGCTACATCTACGGTACTCTATATTAATTAGTACGTTACAATGAATGTTTTGTTATCGAACGTCGATGTATTTATTGTCTAGATATCGACAACTATGCATCAACGGGTCGCTACATCTACAGTACTCCATAATAATTAGTAGGTACGTTACAATGAATGTTGCTGTATCTATTTGTATTCCCGCTTTGGCATGGGTTTTTTAACGTACGCCCGCAACCCACGGATTTGCTCGCAAGGACTTCGTCACACACACGCACGCGTATGTACCTACTCAAATGTCTCCGCAGAGCCTAGTCGTTGTTGCCCCGTTCCGTTGACAGCAATTGGGATCATCTTTAAATATCTGTAACAGTTTCAAAATCCGATTAAAAATCCAATGCCGCCGCTTAAAGTGAGAGAAATGTCTAAAGTTCTAATAGAATTGAAAGTTTTATTCGGTCAAAATTCTTATAGCAATAATTAGTAATACATTTCAAATATTAAGTACCTATACAGGGTGGAAACGATAAGTGATCTAACTCGATTATTTTTAAACTACACAAGATACCGAAAAACTGATTACTGATCCTGAAAGTGCTTCACGAGCTCTTTCAAACGATATTAGTAATAGGTTACAGACTGGATAATATCCGAAAATTCAATGTTACTAGCTTCCATACATTTAGTACTGCCACAGTAATGGCACTCATTACTTGATAATGTTAGCAAGTAAAGCCTAAAACCAATGTTTTCCATGAATAATTTTAAATAAGAATGCAAGTTAAATGGGTGGTAGTAAATAATAATTATTTTATCATTAAAATTGAATATTTTGATATTGATAAAATTGAATATACCTTTCGATTCAAATACCGAATATTTTTCAATCGATAAATTATCGAGAACTGTTAATAATAAATTGGCATTTAATAATTCAATTAAAAGTTGTATGATTAAAAAATTGTTTTTTCTTAATACTTTACCTTTTAGTACAAAATTTGGTAGGAAAATATTACTTACCCACCCTGAGAAGTTCGTTATTTACCCACCGCGACTTTTGATGTCATGACACTGATTAAACAACCGATTGATTTCATGACTTTTAATATGGAGTACCGTAGATGTAGCGACCCGTTGATGCATAGTTGTCGATATCTAGACAATAGATACTTCAACGTTCGATAGCAAGTATGACACCCATTGTAACAATGTGTTTGTATGTTAGAATGTTGCTAAGCTGCGATTCTGACATAACATTAAATTAAAATGCATCATCGAAGTCACATCCATCATCATTCTTGTTGTAAAAAAAAGCACATTGACACAATAAATAAAATAAAATAAAACATAAAATGCCACATCTTTATGTGCCCTCGTGCATATTTTATTCAAAGCAAGATTTTCCCATGTTTACTTTAAAAGCTCTTATTCATCTGTATACTATCTCCACTAGATGTTTTTTTTTTCTAGGTGGTATTCTATAATAAATTTTAATCAGTCATGTCTTCTTTACGCGTCGTGTGTCCTTAGACACTTTTTTCCGAGACGATCTAGAAAATTCTCAAATACATTGCATGAGCTGATAGAACTCAAATAATTCCAAAAGCAATGAAACTACATCGATACAAGCAAAGCAGCGGCCAAAGCCTAGTTTCTCTGTAAATTATGATAAGCACAATACATGTATTCAAGATTAGATTGTTTGTGTTCAATTGCTGTATAAGTTATGGACATAAACTAATTTAGCAAATTCAAGTATTTTGCACGGTTGACACGTACAACAGGCTTAATTTTAATAACACAGGCTATTTGTAGAACTGCATAATAATGCTAGTATTCATAATGAAACAACAGCGCTAATTTTCATCAAGTTTACATAGTAATGTAACCACACCCAAGGTACTGCCTAGGTACTTAGGTACAAAGCCTTACAACTAACGGCACATTAAAATTAAGAAATATTTATTTTAGTAAAGTATACAGTGTTTACCATGAGTTTACGTTAGGTGTGCTCGCTAGCGAGTATACTACGTCAAAAAATGAATGAAGATTTTATTTCTTGAAAGTAGATTTTTTCACGCAGTCGCTAGCGAGCACACTTGGCTTTACGTAAGTTCATGGCAAGTACACAGTACTGCCTTTTAAACTATAGATTACATTAGTAGCAACATTTTCACTACTTGCCGAAATCACTATTATTTTGAACAGTCTAAGTGCTTTTTCCCTGTGATGCTGATTTCAGCACGAATAACTTGCGTAAAGGTAATAGTATCGTTAACGTAAATAATTTGTATGAGAATCTGAGAGCGCCTCTATCGGACGTAAAACAAACTAAATTTGGCAGCACAAATGCCTATTGTATAGTAACGTAATCGTACGGTAAATGTATCGTATGATGTTTATACTAACTTTGCGATCACGAACCTTTTTTTGACGTATAGAATAGTAAGTGGCGATAGCTGGCTAACGTAAGCTTACGAATGTTTTGTCACGGTAAATTTTTCAGTGTTAAAACTTGCGTCGGAAGTAAAACGTGTTTCATAAATAAATTTCAGTGGGTTTTAATACGTTTTATGTATTAATAAATTTACGTAAAATGCAAGGAGCGCGTAGAGTTGAACGTAGTGCATTGTATTATTATCTTGCAACAAGATTACTTGAGATTGAGGGCGGTAACAATGAACAAAGAGAAACTAGGTAAGTACGTGATAAGTTTTTCTAATAAAAAAAGCTTATTTTTCAGATAAATGATTTCATTTTTATTTTAATGCCCTGTTACAGAGAAATAAGTCGTAGATGTAAGGAGAGAAAAAAAATTAATTTATTAGATCTAAACGAAACCGAATTTAAGAATAGGTTTCGTCTTAGTAAAGAAGCTTTTATATTCTTATGCGATAAATTACGTCGACATACTTCTTTGAAGTCAACCAAACGAATTAGCTTGGAACTTAAGGTGAGATAAGCAAACATTCTAAAAATATAGATTAATGAGTTACTGATGAATTTACTATTTCTAATTTCGTTTACACAGATTCTTTGTGCATTGTCGTTTTACGCCACTGGATCGTACCAAAGACTAGTTGGAATGGCAAAACATTTAGGTCAAACTACAGTCAGCAAGTACGTACGAGAAGTGACCGATGCACTTGTTAGTCCGCCAATATTGAATTTTTATATTAAATTTCCGACAACAAGAGAGCAAAGAGATGCGGTAAAAAATCAGTAAGATGTTTGTTTATTAAATTATAGCATTTACATCATCTTCATAAACATACATAACATTAATATTCCAATTTACCTCTAAAATAGAAAGACAAAATATTGTATAAGTACTCAACTAATATTTTTTACAGATTCTACTCAAAGTTCGGCTTTCCTGGGGTCATAGGGTGTATTGATGGATGTCATTTCCATGTTTTTAAACCCAAAAAAGATATTGAACATTTATTTTATTGTAGAAAGCACTTCCATTCATTAAATGTACAAATGGTCAGTAACACAAACATGCCTGTAAAGTAGTGGATATAAATGATGAGTCTCATATAATAATAATTATTTACAACATACTAAACTTTATTTCAGATATGCGACAGTGATTGCCGAATATTAAATATTAACGCAAAATATGGGGGAGCTACCCACGATGCGTTTATTTGGGATAACAGCATGGCAAATAATTATATGCAAGAACTACATCGGCATAATGAACAAGTTTGGTTATTAGGTAAATATTACGAAGTGAAAATAATTTTATTCTTTCCTTCAATCATAGTTGTATGTTAATTACAGGTGATTCTGGGTATCCTCAGCGACCCTGGCTAATGACTCCTATACCTGATGCTGTTGAAGGAAGCCCTGAAGCAAAATACACCCAAGTACATGGAAAAGCCAGGGTCACGATTGAAAACACCTTTGGGCGGTTAAAAAATCGTTGGCGATGTTTGTGTAAGGACCGCACACTACACTACACACCAAAAAAGTGTGCAAAAATAATAATGGCATGCAGTGTGTTGCACAACTTAGCCAAAGATTTTAATGTGCCCGAACCAGAGGAACACCTTTTAACTGAACCAAACATAATCTCTGGACATGTTTTCCAAGAGAGTGAGGCTGGAGACGACTTAGGAAGAGGACGAGCAATAAGAAGTATGTTGGTTGATAGGATCAATAGGCTACACATGTAATCTAAATCTAAAAAAAACCTATGTATCTGGTTAGAAAGCTGTAATTATTTTAAGATTGTTTATTTTTTTTTAATTAAAACTAACGTAAGTATTTATCTAATAGTTTTATTTTGTGTATTAATGTTATACATAGAGCTTAAATTAAATAATTACAGGAGAAATTAACAAACGATGTAAGCTTAATAGGACTTTAGTATACTTACAAGGCTACACATGTAATTTCTAAATCTAAAAAAACTTATAATGTATCTGGTTAGAAAGCTGTAATTTTAAGATTATTTAAATTGTATTTTTTATTAAAACTAACGTAGATATGTAAACATATAAAAAGTAGTTTTATTTTTTCATTTATGTTGTACACACAGCTTAAGTTAAATAATTACAGGAGAAATTAACAAACAATGTAAGCGTAATAGGACTTAGCATACTTACAAACCTTAGTGGTTTCATAGCGAAATTACTAAGCTTTGTAGTTTAATTTTTAATTCTAAATAGTGAAATAAATTTTCTATGTGATATTACATTTAATAAATACAAAATTACTTATCTTCTTTTTCAAAGTATCTAATAATAACATTCATAGCCTCTTTCATGAACTGGAGCCATTGAGCCTGTAAATTGAGCTCTTGGTCCCTCTGTCGCACCCTTTCATGGACTTCATACTCATGCACACGCAGCCTTTCGGTCTCTAACCTTTCAAAGGCCAAATCACGCTCTCTTGCATATTCTCTTGCTCTCCTATCAGAATCTACAAATATCTTCGCTACATTATTATTATCACATTTTTTCTTTTTTTGTGGTGGTGGTACCCAATGCTCATCTGATATAATTTTAATTTTTTGAGAAGAAGGTGGAGGTGTTGCAGTTTCTTCACTCTGAAGAGGGGGCAGCACCACGGTAGGTTGGCTACTGGTGCTTGGGGTGTTCCAATCGGCTTCTGTAAAGTAATTTAACAACTTGGTTTAATTAATTTCATTTTTTCAAATTTCATTTACCAGATTTTTATTTATTTATTTATTTTTGGGAACATAAAATTTTTCATATTTTGTCTGATAAATTGTACAATTACTATAAGAACAAACCTGTATCTATTGTATCCAGGGTGAATTGGTTATCTTCTATATACCCAGGTATAATTATTTCTTCTGGCTGGGTGTTGGGCGTTTTTTCATCATCTTCATTCTGAAAAATATTTACATTAAACCGACAGTAGCATAAATTAATAAACAAGTCTGTACTTATTATTTTTAAAACTTCGCGTAAATAATAGAAACTTTTAATATTTAGATAAAATAAAATTTTGTTAGACTTGTATGAAAAAGTAAAATTATATTTTGATACCTAAAACTACAATACACTGAAATATAATTCAGACCTGCTGAAAGCCAGCTTCCACCAGCGTCATGCCAGTAGCTGCCTCCACTCCAATGATTTGCATGACCCTGTTTTCAAGGTCAGTCAACGATAATCGAAGTGCAGGTCCACCACCAGTACCGCTTGCAGCTCTATTTATCTTTGCCAGCTTTCTTTTGGTGTTATTTTTTAAATCACTCCACACCTTTACCACAAACAGAAATAGAACAAATCAATAGAACTAAAACTGACAAAAAATTAAAAGTATGTGGTATTGGCTTAAATGCAATGCCCATAAATAATGTCTTAATGACTTGGGTCGCACACTTAAAAGAATGAACCACTTGAGATCGCATACCTTGCGCCATTTCTCCTCCGATCGAGAGTCGCCTGTTCCATCACTGTTTAATTTTTCCGCTAATTCCTTCCATTTCATTTGTATGAAATGGCGTCCTCTTGGACCTCCGGAAGGTTTAGATAAGTCACCATATCTAGAAAATAAGATCCAAAATATATCACGCCATTTCAGCCCACACTTAAACCACATTCACAAATATTTGTATTTCATTCAACGTACTTTTCCATAAACTCTACCATTGCTACGTACTGCAAATGACTTGTCCTCATGCTCAAAATTAAAATACACTTTAATGTAGCTTCTTAAACAAAGAATACTTATACTCAAAGAGTTCCTAAAACTTTTGAATTTGCTTACCAAAGCAAACTGTGTTTGACAGTCTGGAAGACCGTTCAGAAATCAAAACAGATGGAAAAAAGAATCTTAAAATTTTTATTAACCAACATTAAAAATTAAATTTACTTACCTTACTACAAATATATGGAACATAATTTTGTTTCTTGATTGTTTTCTCTAAGATTTCACCCGAATATCACAATATATTTCAATAATTTCAGTTAATTAGAACACTTCAACATGTTTCCGAACGAATCATTGGTTTAGAAAGCTCAGCGAGCTCATTCGTGGGGACATCCCTACTTACGTTAGGATGACGTCACTCTCGTAATTGTATCGTACTAACTACACAACGACGAAAGTGCTTCGTGATGCCTACTAATGTATTACTGCGTCATAGTATAGTAGACACGATACGTTTACGTTACTACTACTTTGATTGTTCGTGCTTGGCGTACTGCACGCGTGCGGATTGAATCCGCATGCGGGCTACCCGCATATCATTATTTCATACATTACGCTGGCTACACGCACGCGGAACGCGGATTGGCTGCGGGCACACAATACGAAATCTTTGTCCTGCGTGCAACAAGCGTGATTCTGATGGACAAGGATAGGCAGTCGTTAAGTGACACCGCGAAACCCTTCGGTATCCACTAAATTTATGACCCTTATATACCACTATTATAAATACTACGCGATCGTTGACAAAGTTCTCCGTCTATGTCTACCATAATATATCGGCAGAACGACAGTAGGTCCCTCCTGTCTTTGATACTCAATTTTCAACTGTATTACCTTGACAATCAGTTCGAAATTGATTACTAAAAATTATTTGACAGGCAATTTCTACTATCGCTATTCGCTACAATGCATTTGACAGACCGCACGCATGCCTATTAAATCCACATACGAAAAAGATACTAAGGGCGTGATCCAGCATAATTTTTGATCTTCGCTTGTTAAAAATCCCTAATGATACGCAGGTTGTTCTTTGAATCTTTCTAGGAGGAAAAAACAGTTTATTTTATTTCTGCATGATATCTACCTCGGGGCAAACAGAGGCTCTGCTGAGAACTTAGATTAGACTGTTATTAGCCGCTACGAAGAATTAGCAACAAAGTTGCGTACGCCTCACTTAAATGTCGGGCGACGTGAAAAAACTTATATGATTTTATACATACGAGTAGATTTAGATTTATATCTGAAGAGGATGCAAACCAGAAACCAAAAACAATCTCAGAATGATAATAATATATTAGTATCCCGAAAGTAGGTCACTTCGATAATCGAATAAAGCACGCTCGATGCTTACTGATTTGGGAGATCGATAGTTACAACACCAGCAGCATAGTTATACAGGGTGTACCTGTGAGTATGGATCAAGCCAAAAGGCTCAAATGCAACAAATTCCATGAGAAGGAAGAACTTTACGTAAAAAAAATAGTCTTAAGTAAATCATTTATTTTAAACTTTCGCGTTGCATAATTCAATTAATTCGCGGTTCAGTAAATCAGCCAACTGGTATGATGACATTTTTTTTTAAGAATTTGAATATTGATCCTATAGGAAAGTTGTTGCATTTGCATAGTAGAATCGATCTTTTTTGTTTGATTCATACTTACAATGACACCCTGTATAGTTCTAGGAACCTGACCAATCATCAGCCTGTTGGAACTGAAGCCCGAACAAAGTGGCATAGAATTATCATCCAGCTCTGTGCAGTTTAGTAGTTCTTCTTGTGATCATAGCATAAAGTTGTAGAGAAGGCTCGCTACCGGATACGTATATTTCCTCCTTTTATTTCACATAAAGACTGAATTCGAGTAGTCAGGTATAGATGAGCTGGTAGTAAAATCTAACTACGTGGTTAAGATTTTGTATAAAGAAGAAGAAGGTAGCAGGGAAGCGCTGGACGCAGGCCGCTACCACTCGATCAACATGGAAAGCATTGAGGGAGGCCTATGTTCAGCAGTGGACGTCCTATGGGTGAAATGATGATGTTGATGATAATGATAAAGAAAATACTCGTACGTAACTTAAATGATTAGAATTTTATAGAGCTTAGGATCTACTTGCCCACAGCTTGTACTGTCTGTGCCTTCAATGGAAAGTAGATGCATAGCAAATTAAGTAAAGGATTACAAAGGACAGTGACACATTATTAAAAGCCCTCTATAAAATACCGCCGTAAATAAAAAAATATGTGCTTAATTTCGAACTCCTCCTATGTAATTTCTCCTAATTTCGTTGCGGGTCCAATGACAGTTTAAGTTTCCCCCGGGACGGACTTGACCTTCACTGGTTGGGTTTTTATTAGCGTTCAAGCTGTAGAGCCTGGCTACACAGGTGTTGCAGCGGTGAGAACGAGAGGTGGGAATAATCACGTTTACAATAATTTACTACACATGAATGAGAGAGATAGTAATATCGGATGACAGCGCACGGCATGAACCGCGCTATGCAAAAAGTTGACATTTAGAAAACGTGTGCTTATGCTTATCGTTGAAAAGAAACTTGTAAGGAGCAGACCTACTACCCCTACTTACACCATACAGTCGCTCGTGACTTAGTACTGCACCGGCATTACCAATGGCGAGCCGTTTCCATTGTAGTTGTCAATAGATAGCTATTACACCACCCTGCGCCCGCGCATCGCGCCTACCGCGAAATACTTACTCTGATTGGGTGCTTTGGGTAGTGATGTGGTATTGTGACGTACCGGTTTTTATTATTAGGATGAAAAAAAAAATGCCTTTATTTATTTAATCATGTCGGATTTACAGTGTTTACAATGTAATTGAAACCACTTTTAAGTTTGGCACTTGTGTTAGGAGAGCCCCGCCCATTCCACAGATCCAATAAATCATCATCATTTCAGCCATAGGACGTCCACTGCTAAATCTCTGATGTTTGATTATGAGACATGTAGAGGCCCCTTAAGAGCAAAATATTTGACGATTTGTAAGAACTATTAATTTTTTTTTAATCTCTAATTAGAACTATTTAATAGTCTATACAAATAAAGAAATTTTGACATTGACTTTGACTCCCAAAATGAGTTTCATAATGACCGACTGGTTGCGGTGGTTGGGGCAACAAGGTTCTGGAGTGGAGGACTTGTACCGGAAAGCGTAGCGTAGGACTTCCACCCACAAGGTGGCCCAACCAACTCATAAAGGTAGGAAGGCGCTGGATGCAGATCCAATATAAATAAGACTAAATTATCGCAAGTAGATGATGTTGTTTGTTATCTAGCCCTGCATGGTTACTGGTGTTTTACAAATAATCCGGTACAATGTAAGAAACCATTAAGTACTGTAGCAATGTTGCTCCTTTGATGGCTAAAAGAATCGGTAATCCAAGGTGCAGACCACCGATTTTTAATCGGCTGATAGTTGCGTCTGATTCTAATTTGTATGAAGAATCAATCGGTGTAATGTGCGCACTTCCATACATGCCCACACTGATTAACTCCCCGACTAAACTATCTGCCGATAAAAAATCGGTGGTCTGCGCCTAGGCTAAATCGGTACTACCAATTCTTTGCCCAACTCTATCATCATTTTCCCCTGGACCCCCAGAGACACGTTCACACTGGTCATCATTGAAATGCCTGACTTTTTTGGAATTCCTGGCACCTAGCAGCTGCGTGGACCGGTCGTAGTGGTTAAATACTGCTCTGCATTTAACCTAAGTAGAGGCGGCATCTATTGAATAACGGTTAGGGTTACCAGATCAAAAAATTAGATCTTCCGATGAAAATTATTATTAACTAGCTTTTGCCCGCGGCTTCACCCGCGTGAAATTTAGTTTATCATATATCGTAATAAATAATAGCCTCTATATTATTCTGGGTTATAAACAATAATGCTGTAAAGTTTCATCAAAATCTGTTCAGTAGTTTTTGCGTGAAAGAGTAACAAACATCCAGACATCCACACAAACTTTCGCATTTATAATATTAGTAGGATTACTATGCTTATAACTAAAATGGCAAATCTGTTGAAACTATATGTAATTTTTACAGATTTCTTGCCATTTTAGTCTGTTTGCTAGAGCTACATCAGCTGGACTGTAAATAAGTTTAATCCGCTTTTAGTAAAGTAAAATTATTGAAAACCATTAAAGATGTTCGTAGCAAATAGCAATTTTGAAGAATCTTCTTTTACATCCTTATCTTTCTTAATTTCAGTAAATTTTAATTCGATTCTGCGATCTAGGGTCTAATTAAGAAGTCTAATAATTTCTGTCACCTGGTATATTTTTTTTTTATGTGATAGGAGGCAAACGAGCAGACGGATCACCTGATGATAAGTGATTACCGTCGCCCATAGACACCCGCAGACCCAGGGGCGTTATAGGTAACCCTATAAGCGTCAGTATTGAAGCATTTAACTGCAACATTTCTTCAGGAACTTTATAATTGAGGCTATTTAAATAGTTACATAACTCTGTAGCATATTTCTTGTCTATGGAAATTATCATTCTTTAAATGAGATGGGATGAGATTTTGCTGCTTCATCACGTCTTACTTCCCTAACATGTCTGGTGCTTAAATACCATACATAAGCGTGTACAGTCCTCTCAACTTAAGCTGAGAATTGCATTTGTGTGAGTGCACACCGATAGTTTAGAGTGGCAATCGGCTTGAAGCGCGGCGCGTCCCGCGCATGGTTTATTATAGCAAGCGGCCTGAAGCGCGGCGCGTCCGCCACGCACCGCTTCCTTGTCGCTCACATACTTCACTTCACCCCCGGTACTGGTAGCAGATACGTGTAATTTTATGTAATTGTTTTCCAAATATTAGTGAAATGACTCCTACTGTAAGTGAATTTCCTGTACGAAATCCATTAAGCAGCCAAGTGAAAGAAATTTTATGCAAATTGAATACGTATTTTAAAGGTGTGAACGAAAAGTTTTTAGTCTCTTTTTATTTTGTAATTTTATAAAGTTTGTCTTTTTGTTGTATTTTGTAAGGCTGGCTGGACGCCCTCTCTATAAACGGTGCTCGCAGAATATCAGCGTCGAGGTACTTCGTGCCTTGGCATATGCTGAGCGAGGACCTGTTTTTATTTATTTATTTATTTAAAAGGATGTGTCAAGTGTCGTTACATCGGCCCAATTGGTAGCAAGTGTTTTATAGACTTCCTTTTAATAAAACATTAACTTTATTTGTATGTGTTTTACTAACGGTACTTTTGGCGATCACTCACACAAATGCAATTCTCAGCTTAAGTTGATAGGACTGTATCACTTTGCTGCTTTTAACGTTAACAAAGTTTGCAGGGGTTTAGCACTGTTGATTTCGGTGCAAATATTAATTTCTATAACTAATTTTTCATCTACGACGTTCATATTCGATTGTGCTTAACACTAGAAAGGCCGCCGTCCCATTTTTGTCCCACTTGCGAGTTTGATCGTCTCTAACTTTTTTATTTTTCAACGAAAG